ATGTGTCTTTCAACATGGTTGTTTAAGAAATGAGAAGCAACTCATTGCACCTGTTGGGGTTAAATAACTTGTTGCTGAAAGATAATTGCTCGTGCAGTAATTATCCAATAGGAGGCTTGTACCTATTTGCTTAGTTAAATCCAGGTGGCAACTTTTTGGGGGTCCAGGCAGTCTATTTACACATGCTTTACTGTGTATTTTATATTTTAGTTATAACTCAACTTTGCATTAATGTAAATATAAATGCTAATCATTACAATGCAAATTACAGGACAGAGCTGTAAATTCAGCAAATAAAATCCTAAGCATTCTACTTGTATTTGAAAACAAACTATAGTGAAAGTGTCTTCTGCATAACCACTAATAAGTTTTTACTTTTTGAGCAATAGTTTTTGAATCACTAATTTAAAAAAACTTTATGTAATGTAAGGAAAGTGTTTCATTCCAACTAATTTGTGGCATTAGAGGTTATTCATTAGCTTCGCAGGATCAGGATTTTTCTCTAAATTGTTGGCAGAACCCAATTTAAAAACTATGAACACACATCGTTTAATTTTCTCAGTCACTTTGGCCAACAACAGTCAAATTGATCAATTTTACATCTCTGAAATGATTGAACAACATGAGTGGACATTTTTTTAATGAACAAGTCATTTCATTCAAATGAATGTAAGCGAAACGGTTATTAAATAGAGGCAATTGCAAAGCAATCATCCAATGTATTTCTGAGCAGAGGTTTCAGACGATGGTCATGCAGCAATCTGACAGTGAGCACTTTGTAAAAGTTACGCTCTGCTCTTTTAGAGCAAAACAAGCACAGAACAAACACGATGGAGTCGACAGTGATGTGCACACTGTTAATATGACAAACCATAATCATATAACAAATGTAATTTATTATATTTGGTATTTGTGCATCTTGTTTAACAAAGGCTCATGTCTGATTACTGCTGCTGTTCCCCCAACACCCAGCTTAAAAAAAGGTAACTACAACCACAATGGGTGACACATTCCAATCTTAATTTTTTGACCATGTTGTCTAAACGTTAGCTTTAATAACAAGCCATTTTACTAATCTTTGTGATGTGAAGCCATTCAAGATTTGGCGTTTTAATTTTCTATTCAGATTTGTTCTTTTGAACAGTAGGAGCAAGACATTCCAAGGGTTTCAGGTAACATGTCACTTAAAAATAATAAAATAATAAAAACTAAAGGCAGGTAAAGTTGAGTGACGTTCAGTCCACAGGTCGACTCTTCAGTAATCAAAAGCTTGGCTGAAGGTTCGTTTGTGTCCTCCTCTGTTTCCATATCCTCCTCCACCACCGCCACTTCGGTACCCGTTGCTACGGCCACCGTTTCCCCAAGAATTTCGCCCCCTGCCGCCTCGGAACCCCCCTCTGTCACCACGGTTACCAAAGCCTCTGTCACCACGGTTACCGAGTGGCTTCTCCTCCAGCTCTGGGAGCTCTGTGGCTACAGTCAGCTGCCAGCGGCGGTTGTCTCTCCAATTCTCCTGTTGAAGGAGCATGCAGAGAGGAACATTAACAAAAACACTTCAAACTTCAACTGAAAGCTTTAGTTTTTTACTTTGCGTTATTTTTACTTCATTATTCTTAACGGTATTTAAAATATATATACATATTTTGAACACAAGATTATTGCTCCTGTTCTCACCTGGATCTCTTTGACTTTATCAGCTGGAACATCAAAACAAACTCCCTATTTTTAACAGAAAGAACAAAATGATCAATTCTGTCAAAATGTTCAACAACGATAACAACAAAACCTTTACATGACGTCTCAAATGTCTGCGAACCTGATGGTGACAGTTAGTATTGACAGTACAGTAGTCTTTCACTACTTTGCGTTTTGATGTTTGCGGATTTGCTATATCACAGTTTTTCAAAATAAGATTGGACATGACACAATTGGCTGATTGATGGATGAGCCATGGATTGTTTATTTAAAATAAATTATTTTAAATGATTTTGCACCATGTGTGCAGCCCACAAGTGCAGGGGGAAGCTCCCTCCTGCAGCTGATCAGCTGATCCCCTTCTCTGCCACCACACATTTTTCCTGCTGCATTCATTGCAAAGGGTTAACCCTTTGCTGTCCAGATGCACCGATCGACTTTTC